TTACTTGAAAAAAGTAATCAGATTACAGTCAGACAGTTAAGGCCTTGCTGCCTCTCTGTTGATAGGTACAGTACGTCGCTTTTGTTTATATGCTTGCGCTTGGATTAGCAACGCTTCATCTTCTTTTGCCATTCAGAGCTACAAATGCACATTTCAGTCGTGTTGAACTCTTCTCAAAAGTTAAGTTTCACAAAGACGATCCAGCTAAAATTCAACATGTCAAGGTCTGCCTTTTAAATTTTGAAGGGTACCCTGTGAATAATTCCCACATGGTACAGTGTGAGGAATTGGAGGAGAAAGAGTAATGACAACAACACTTCTTTCTACTTGATTATAAGGATTATGCATTCAAACAGCATTTTCTCTTTTGCATTTCTTTCTCCCAGTGTCACCTGCAATGTCACTTCTCAGTTTTGCTGAGACCTGAGCGAGTGTCTTTGGATATTTTGCTGTTTCTGCTGTTTTTCACTATGTTTGTACATTGTTGATTTTGTTTTCCTGTGTTTGAAAAGCTACTGTTTGTAGTGTTGTGATTTCAAGGCTTTTACGCTTTTTCTTTATTCTAATGAATGTAAAACACATGAAGCACACACACTTAAACACATGTATATATCAATGCAAAAGCAAGAACAGAGGGTTATGCTCTACTTCTGCGACATATTTAGTGCTGCTGAATCATTCTCATGCAGACTGATTAACGGATGCATTTTCTCTTTTCAGGCCGTATGCCAACTACAGTGCTCGGAAAGGTCTACTCTCCTGACCCAGATGATTGGGACAACAAGACGTATGTCTTTGAAGGACATGTGCCAAGGTAAATTAAAACAAATTAATTCAATGGGTCAGCAGTTTCTAATCAGAAATGTGTCTTAAGCTATTTTAAATGAGTGCGAATGATGGCAGGGCATTTACTCTTTCCAAGAAATGTCTAACATCCTGACGTCAGTGATGCCGGAGTTTCTGTGTGCCAGATTACTTTTACCTTTTACGGCTAATCGGCGGCACCTCCTTGTTTTTTAGTCGTTAGATTGATTTAGACATTTAAATAGCGCAAAGCAACAACTCCCGGAGCGAAATATCCATCTTTGTTTATTACCATCCTATTTTTCTATTACCATTACCATCCTGTCCAATTTTCTTCCTCTGATTCTATTTCCTCAATGCCTCTTCTCAATTTCTCTTCCCATTTTTGTTGTTAATGCACGTGTGTTTTCCTGCCACGATGACGATGTTCTGTTTGTGCCAATACTCTGCTTGAGATTTTCACTTGCTAAAAGTGACACTGAGCCACAACGCCTCGCACTTTGACAATCTCCCACACGCATGCACAGACGAGTCCCGAAGTGACACTCCGGTACCCTATGACACCTTCGTCTTCATCTTTCATGCTGTGTTGAACTCAAAATGACTTGAAAACTTTGCTACTTTTTCTCTCAAAGTCAGAGTTCAGGCTTTATGAAGGACTGGGTGTAATATAAGGTATCAGAACTTCACGACAGCTCTCATCTCTTCA